AACCATTTGATTTAATTTAGTTTAGCTTGTTTTAGTTTTTTGAGATTTTTTTTTTTTAATGTAGCCCAGGTAGTCTTAAGCTTGATATGTGCCCTAGAAATAAATAACCAACATTGTATCAGCACAGATCCTTGCTTCAATTCTTTAACCAAGGCAGGTGTCACAGTACATGCCTATAATCCCAGGAAGTCAGAGTCATCTTCTAGACTAATTAATGTGGAATCCACGTTGCCTTTGGCCAACCCTTCAGTGTGTCCCTGAACCACAGCTAGCCCATTTCTCTCCCCTTCTGTTTGAAGTACATAGTGTGAGCTCTGCTCTTCAGCATGCACTTAGGTTTCTTCATGGTGACTGGGAAGCAGGGTTCTCTGTCTAAGGTCTGAGAGTGAGTGAGAGACACTGGGGTAAACAGCCAGATCTTTAAAACAGGAAATTAATATGAGACTTTTATCTTCAGTCTACATTATTATCATCATCATCATTTTGGTTTTTTGAGACAGGTTTTCTCTATATTGCTTTGGAACCTGTCCTGGAACTCACTCTGTAGACCAGGCTGGACTCAAATTCACAGAGATCCTCCTGATTCTGCTTCCTGAGTGCTGGGACTAAAGGCGTGTACCACCAATTCCCAGCTTACATTTTTATTAACAACCTTAACCTTTGGTATTTTCCTAAAAAATTAAAATACAGACAGACTTTGGTATTTCACTTTCACACTGATATCAGCATAACAAGGCACTAAAGAAAGTTTGTTTTGCAGTGTGGGTGGGTTCAGCCTTCTGCTTGCTTTGTTGGCTCAGCATTATCAGTAGAGCCATTAACTCAGAGAGTCCTGGAAATGGTGGGAGCCCTGTGTTTTCTGGGAGAATTCCACCATCTCCTCCAAAAATATTCAAGAGGGATGTGCTGCTCAGTTTTTATATCAACTTCACACAAGTGAGGGTTATTTGGGAAGAGGGGCTCTCAGTTGAGGAAATGCCTCGGTCAGATTGGCCTGTAGGCAAGTCTGCAGAGCATTTTCCTGATTGATGATTGTTGTGGGAGAGCCCAGTTCATTGTGGTAGTGCCAGCCCTGGTCTCATGATCCTGGATGGTATAGAAATGCAGACTAATTAAGCTATGAAGAGCAAGCTGGTATGCAGCATCCTCCATGGCCTCTGCATCAGTTCCTGCTTCCAAGTTCCCGTCCTGTTTGAGTTCCTGCTCTAACTTCCCTCTGTGATGAACTGTAGGCTGAAGTAAAGTTGCTTTGGTCATCGTGTTTTATCCCAGCACTAGAAACCCTAACTAAAAATTTGATGCCAGGGCATAGGATATTGCTGTAATGGACTGGACCATGTCATTTTTGAAAGGGTTGTAGAAGGACTTTGGCCTGGAAAAGCCATTGGGTGCTCAGAGCTTAATAAGTGGTTCTGTGTGAGCTTGGAAAATAAAGCTGAGAATAGTGAAGATGATCGAAGCTTGGCTTGTGAAGTTTCACAAGTTTGAGAGTTGCTTGAAGACTCTATATGGGCTGTTTGATATTTTGAAATAAGAATTTGTGGTTCTGGTCAGCTGGAGCAGCTGTGATTAACAAGAAGCCAGCACCAAGGTGAAATCTTTGCTTTACTGTGCTTTGTTTGTTTGTTTTTAACAAAACATCAATAAAGATTTGGGAGTCAGATGCTGGGGTGAAAGCCGGCTATCTCAGAGAGGCAGAGAGAATACATAACTGACCTTCCTCCTCCACTGATATCCCAGAAAGAAAGCTTTCTCCTGCACCATCTCAAACTGAATGTCCCTCCATTCTACTTCCTGTGTGTGTCTCTATTCATCCCCCTGACTCCCTCTTACTCTCTATGGTTTTTCCTGTCAGCTAGTTCCTTGTTCCGCCTCTTAGCCTACGGTTGACTTTATTTAATCCTGTTTACAGTATTCAAGGAGAAAGCTCTTGGATTAAACGTGTGTGCTAGGGCTGAGCCACACATCAACTAGAAACAGGTTTGATCAAATATACTGCAACATTACTGGGTCAATTGATGCCCAGTTGCAAAGACCCCAGCATTTTGGAGATGCCAGTACCATGGGACAGCCACCAAAGACAGCAGCAGCTATGTAGTTGAGTCCCCCTGAGCCTAGAAAACAAGCTGTGTGTGCTAACAAAGGCAGAACTGGAGAAACAGGAACGTTTGGAGCAGAGATTTTAAGTGAATCCCAGATGTCTGATACTGAGCTTTTTACACTGTTGCATTTGGTTTTGCTTTGATTTGCTTGTGACTGGAGAACATTTTAACTTATTTTGTTTTACAGAAGCCCACAATTTGGAATTTTATAGAGACTTCAGAGTTTTAGAGAGTCTTTGGATATTTTAAGATACTGAAGTCTCAAGGTGTTTACATTTTAAATGCTATAGCACTTTTAAAACTTGGAATGTCTTATATTGTGGTGTTGATACTCATAGGTGAATCTTGGGGATTCCATGGTTGATGGGCTAGAAGCTGTAAACTGAAATAAACCCTTTCCTCCCCATGGTGTGTTTTATCACAATAGAAACCCTAACTAATGCTGTGTGTGCGCACGCGTGTCAAGTAGAGAGCAAGGACTATCTAGCTCAGCCCATGTACTCAGCATTTCCTAGGCTATTACACTGGGCTATATGAGATATACCTGATCTATTACAGTTTATTTTTCTAATACAGACTTTGAGTGTGGATTGTTTCTTAGGTCATGGACACCAGGAACAATTTTTGACACTAGAATGTGAGGATAGACAGCTAATGTGGAAGATGATTCCAGGAAATACCTCCAGGTTTACCAGCAGGCACCAAGCTAGAGTGGGAATAATCCTACAAAGGATACATTATGAAGCAGGTTGCTGCTGAGACATTCTGGAGGGCAGAATAGAATGTGCCATAGATTGATCTACTAGGGGGAAGTGAGAGCTACCCTGCCTTGTTTTGTTTTTTTCTTTTTTTATATTTTATTTATTCCTATTTTATACATAAGTGCTCTGCATGTATAACTGCATGCCAGAAGAGGCCATCAGATCCTATTAAGATGGTTGTGAGCCACCAGGTGAGTGCTGGGACTTGAACTCAGAACCTCTGGAAGAACAGCCAGTGCTCTTAACTGCTGAGCCATCTCTCCAGCCCTGTTGTTTTTTTCTGACCTGTCTTATCATGGTTTGAATTGTGTGCTCAAAAAAAGGTATGCTGGTGCCCTAACCCCCAGGTCCTCAGAATTGGATGTTCTTTGGCCATAGGAGTATTGTGGGTGCAATTAGTTAAGATGGTATTGGAGTCAGACATGCCTTCAGTACACAGTAACTGGTGTCCCTTTCATCAGTAGTACCCTGTGAGGAGATGGGAAGTTGCAAGGAGAAGGCAGTCTGGTGTGATACTGTCACCAGCCAAGAAACATCAGGGGCCCCTCTAGCTAAAAAGGCAAGAAGGAGCTACCTCTGCAGCCTTAGGAAGCATGACTCTGCCAATACTTTGGTTTAGAACTTCTGACTTGAAGCACAGTGAGGGAATGAGGAATGAACTCCACACGTATTCCATTGGTTCTTGGATGCAGCTACTCATGATCCCACAGCCAGGAAGAAAGACCCCAGAAAAGAGACCATAGGAGGCCTTCCTGAAATGTGTCCAGCAACAGATAGCTTGGTCCCTGGGCAATAAGGTCTCAGTTCACTCAATTAACATCTGGGAAGAATCTGGCTTAACTGGTACAGGCCTTCCTGCACTAATAAAAATCACCCACAACCCTCAGGAAACATGTCTTTATCGAACAGGGGGATGGACCTAGTCAAAGCTGCTAAGGTAAGAAATGAAATGAGGAGGTTGGTCTAAGAGGGAGAAGGTGATTGTTTGATTGTCTTGGAACAAGACGCTACAAGGATGATAATAGCACTGGCCAACATTACCTATGCCTGTGATTCATGGCAGGCACCATTCTGTTTTGCCTAAATTCCGGTTAGAAATAACTTACGATACCTTTATTTTGACGAACCTGAGAACTAGAGATGGAAAAAAACTCACTAGAAACCACACAGCTGCTCAGACTCAGTAACAGTCAGAGCTCTGCATATGTGGTGGAAATCAGGCAAGCCCTGTGTTCATCTTCCTGCTGTTCATATTCCCTATCCAGAGTTCTTCTATTTATCAAGGCTTTCTTTCCAGCCCAATCCTTGACCATCTCCCCCTACAGCTCTCCAGTTTGTTGGAATATAATTATTTGTATTTCTCTTGAGATGGGTTTTCAATATATTACTTAGGCTGGCCTTGAACTCTTGCCTCAGCCTCACAAGCATCTTTCCATAGTCACTGGCTGCACAGACAGTTAATAAGGGGATTCAACTGCCTTGCTCTTGTACTGTCCCAAACCATGCTCTTTGCCAGTCTTTTTCAGTCCTGGCTATGGAACCCAGAGCCTCACATGTGCTAGACATGACCTCTACACTGAACTGTCTCCTCTTCTGCTTCGCAGAATTTTAAAAGCAATGTTTTGGGCTAGTGAAATGGCTCTGTAGGGAAGGCGCTTACTACCAAGCTGGTCGACCTGATGCTGATCACAGAAAACCAACTCATGAAGGTTGTCTTCTGACCATGCTCCCCTACCCCACAATGAATAAATCAAATGTAATTTTAAAAATTAAATAATACATTTTCTTTTAAAAATGGGTTTTTCAAGCCCGCCTGATCTTTACCAGGGTAGAAATCAGAGGTTTTATTCTCAATATCTTTCTTTATATCCTGCAATATTTTACTTCCGAAATTTTGCTTTCTTTCTGTTATACACTTTAAGACCTACAAATCCTAATGTTATCTTTGAGAATATACTTAGAAGAATGGATTTCAGAATCGCACTCTTCCTAACTAGCCCAAAGAAAGCTAAAAACCAAAAGTGATTTAGTTTCAGGTAAATCTTTTATTGTTTATGTTTCAAAGACAGTAACATGGTCATTGTCACAGGCATGTGAACATCTATTTTGCAGGAAGAATATACTACAAGTCATTCTAGTCACATAGCATTAGCATTCTGGCAAAGATAAATGGTATTTCCAACTGCAACAAACATTTAATAAATAGTAAATTCTGCTTTCTGCCTTTGGGTGAGTCAATGGCGTCTTTTGGTGAACAGCCTGTCTCTCCAACTGTTAGCCCCTCTGGTTGAACTTTTCCGCTATCTTCTGCAGTCCCAGATCCATGGCAGCCAAGTTCTCCAGTTCCTTTTTCTGGGAAACAGAAAAGTGAAGCACTGAAGTCAACCCATACCCTCCAGTTCAGGGAGCTCTAAGAGAAAGGGGGAAGTTTATGTATAGTAGAGGCTGCCTGTGTCAGCCAACATCAGGTCTTTAAGGTGTGTTTCTTCTGATCAGCAGATTCCCCAAGCAATTGCTGGGTCCCTTCCAAAAATTACCGAATGAGAAGCTCTGGGGGATCAGAAATCCCTGTGACTCTGATGTACTTATTAGGTAAAGGTGCAGTTTGGGTGGCACCAGGTGCCTAAGGTTTACGCCATGCCCAGACAGCACCTGGTACACACATCAGACAGATCTGGGACTAGGTCCCAGACACAGTCTTTTCCCAGGTTCTCCAAACAAGGCACCAAACACTGTAAAAGAGAGCCAAAGGCAGGGATCTGCACCATGCTGAGTGGTGGCTGGAAATCAACCCTGCTGTGACAAGGGTGCTCACATTCCCACAGAGAAACTTCCCACCCGTACCTGTTTCTCCCCATTATCAGATGAGTCAATGCTAAATCAGCCTTGATCCTCACCGTCATCTAATTTTAAGCAAAATCTGCATACTGTACCTCTTCCTCAGTCATAACTCTCTGGTCAGCCCTGCCCTTTTCATCTTCTGCCTCCTGGTGAGGCCCCATCTGCTCCTCTGAGTCATAGAAGTCGGGAAATTCAGCTGACTTCTTCCTGTAGTGAAGGAGCTGGTCCAGCTCAGCCACTCCATCGTATTGCCTTTTCAAGTCCAGATGAGGATCCCTGGCATAGCCTCTCTTCTCATATCCCCAGTTGACATCCTCTGAGTAGGGCCTTTTCTCCCACCAGTCATAGTTGTACTCTGGGAAGAAATTCTTCTCAGCCAGGGTCAACCCATTTCCATCTTCACCTTCACCCTCAAGAAAATTGTCATCTGGGTTGTCTTTTTTCTCAAAATCACTGTTCTTCCACTGGAGAGGGTCAAAGTAGGGGTTAAGCAGCACCCCCAACCTCTTCCTCTTTTCAGGAATGGGATAGGGTGCATATTGCCTGTCTGAAAACCTCACTTCCTCCCTGCTTTCTTCTGGGTCTAGCAGCTCTTCCTGTTGCCACCATTTCCCTTGGTCCCCTTCCTCTCCATAGTTGAGGTAGTTTTTCTCCTGCTCCTGCCATTTGCTTTGTGGATATCTTTTTGGTTTATCTATAGGACCTTCGTGAACAGGGTAATGTCCTTCACCCAGGAGCCCTTTCTCTTCTCTGCTGTCAAGAGCAGAATAGACCCCTGGCACACCTCCCCTGCCTCTGTGTTGGCGTCCCTTTGTCCCCTCATAGCCCCTCTCTTCCTCAGTTTCTTCACCGTGTCTGTTTGCCATGCTTTCAAGTTCAGAGTTGGGGTGGCCTCTCTGGTACTCTTTTTCCTGGCTCTCTTCACTCTGAGGCCTGGGAACTCTGTCCGCTTCACTTCCTCTGCCGCCATATTGTGGTCCCCGAAGGCCCTTGGGAACCTGGGAACCTGGGTAACTTCTCATTTCTTCCCCGTATTCAGGTTCTTCCTGTGAAGCCCTGTAGTGGGTTGGATGGTGGCCCCTCTTTTCCCCTAAACTGGTTGTGGCCACACCTGCCTCCTCCGACTCCTCAGAGGCATGTCCCCTCTCCTCCAACACAGGATGCTCTTCTTGAGAGGGCTTGTTGGGCCGGCTTCTCCCATGGTGGTGTCTGGGCCGTCGTTTGGCTACTTCAGAGGCTATGTCTTCCTCATCTTCCTCGGATTCCTCGCTCTGGTCGTGGCTGCTAAGCTCCTGGGGTTGTTTCTCCTGCCTCCTGGCCTCCTCTCCACTCTCCTGACTGCCTTGCTCCCTGCTGTGTGTCTTCTCATAGAGGCCCATAGAGTGTGTATCTGCTCTAGCCATGGACTCCTCTTTTTTCTTAGACATAGCGTCGCTTATTTTGTTGGAGAAGGTACTCTGTTTCTCTCCTGGAACTTGGAGGTGTCTTTCTTCACCAGCATCTTCCCTGTGCTCTCCTTTTGGATAAGTCTTGTCTTCTCCTTGCTCCCTTTCCTCTCCCCCACTCTCTTCCAAATGGTGTATCTTTGTTTCTTTGGACATTTGTTGGTTGGAAGGATGGAGGCTTTCCTGGGATTCATCCACTCCCTCTCGGCTGTGTCCTCCTCCTTCTGTCCATTTCTCATTGTCTACCTTGCCTTGAGCATCTTCTACTGGAGCTCCTGTTCCCTCCCTACTGGAAGACCAGTGGGCTACCAGGGCATCAGCTGGGTCTCTTAGTAATCGTACTTCAAACTTTGTGTTCTCATTTTCACCCTTTTCTTCACCTTTGACCTCTTTCCCACCTATAATGGAAATACAGGAGTTAGCACAACTGTAGAAATGCTTGAGGTTCAAGTACCAGCTTCAGTGATCACTAAAAATCCAGAGGACACTGGAAAATAGTTACATAATAGAGGATATATTAAGTTCTTTGAGAAGCTGATGCTATGGAAGCTTTTTTGCTGTGTTTAATGAGCTTTCTGCATGTTTAAGTTTCCACAATGTCCACCCAGCATCTCTGTTTGTGACTGTCAATGATCAAATTTAAATCCATATGTAACTTTATGAAAGACTGGAATTTAGAACCAGAAGAACTCTTATAAGTCATCTGGTTCAACCTCCATGTTTTGCAGGCATAGGCGATATGGAGACTCAAAGTGATAGCATTTAGGACCATTCTTTCCATATTTGAGTAAGGTGGAAAAGTAGGCATTGTGTAAATAAATGGCTCTAACTATAATCCAACTAAATAGCATTAAATAGCCAAAATAGGGAATCTTAAGATTCAATGGATGAGGGGCTGGAAAGATGGCTCAGAGGTTAAGAGCACTGGCTGCTCTTCCAGAGGTCCTGAGTTCAATTCCCAGCAACCACCTGTAATGAGATCTGGTGTCCTGTTCTAGTAACTAAATCATTAAAAAAAAAGATTCAATGGATGATTCAAAATTCAATTATTTGTCAGACTTAGTTATCTAGTCAATTGTGTGGACTCTGTCCAGCAGGAAATGACAACTTAATCTATCTTAGCCATGTGCTATGCATTTCAACCCACAATAGACTGTGAACTTCACAGTGGTTCCACACCATCATATCATATGATGTCATTATATCATATGAGTCATAGCCCTCTTGGTTTTTGTAAATACAATCAATGATGTTTGTACAGCAACAAAATGGCCTACCTATGCCTTTGTCAGAAACATTAGATGATGCGTGGCTGTAACTGGTAATAAGAAAGGAAAGGGCCTCTCTCCTTCTTCACTTAGGTCCCACCCAGTCCACATGGTCCTTGAAGCTGAGGGTAAGTTTCAGTACACTGGGCTGTCTCCATGTTTCATGAGTCAGTAGCAGAAGGCATAACTGACATTCTGCTGTTCTCTCCATCTTCTCCAAATGTCAATAAGCTCTGACTACATTCTCACCAATGACACCCTATGAAAAGAGGTGTGGAGATCACACTGTCTTTGTTGTTAGTTGGGAGTGCTTAGGTTTCAACCTCTCTCACCAAGTTCAGATAGAAGACCCAAAGCCAAGATCACTAGCAGCTGAGGGTCAACACCAGCGCCACCCATCATGGGAGCCACTAGCTCTTCGTGGCTCAAGCAAACTGAGACCTAATGCCTAAGACTTCATACAAAATAAGTGAAAATGTTAGAATAGCATTTTAAAATAGATTGGGTAATACCAAATGGATAAAATACTTTAGACTAAATTAGATATACTGTTGACATTAATTTCCCTTGTATTTAAGTTTTTAAATGTGACCACTAGAAAATTTGAAATTATATTTGTAGTTTATACTATATTTCTTTTGACCAGCACTCATGGGCCTTTTTGTTTGTTTTTAGACAGGGGCTTATTAGGTTAACAGGTAAGAGCATAAGAGAGAGCAAACAAGCATAGCAGGAACAGACCTCGTGAGTCATTTTGAACTGACATTTACCAAGGACCATACAAAATATTCAAGAAATTGTAGCTGGTGTGTACCTCTCTATTAAGGCACAGCCTGGCATGGTATAATGTTCTCATGTTCACAAAGCTGGAGGCATGTCTCTGGCCTTCTGTACAGACATTTGAGTAGCAGTTCATTTGTCAAAGGCCTGTACCACGTATGAGCCCACCATGAAGGCAAGAGGGTTATAAGTTCTATGCCAGCTTGGGTTATGAAGTGAATTTAAGGCAGTCTAAATAACAATCAAAAACTTGTCTCAAAAAAAAAAAAAAAAAAAAAAAAAAGAGCCCCCAGTATTATATGCAGTGCCGGGACACGGCCAGCCAATTAAGCAGGCACAAGTAAGCAAGGAGGCTTTGGGTGATACCATTGACTTCTTGTGCCCCCTTTCCAAATTCTTATGTTGAAATCCTAATCAATGCTATGATAGATAGAGATGAGACCTTGGAAGGTTCTTAAGGTCCTGAGGGTGGAGCCCTCATGATGGGAACAGGGTCCTAATAAGAGGACACATGAGAAACACAGCCTCCCTTCATGCAGAACAGTCTAAGGGGCCCATGCAGCCAAGAAGTGGGACCTTACCAGGCACTTGATCTTGTGTACTAGCTGCTATAACTGTGAGGTTACTGTGTATTGTTTAAGCAGATGGATCTATGGTATTGTCTGTAGTGCTCACAGCTGATCCAGCCAGATGCTGAGGTTATTCTTAGCTCTGCTGGGGGACAACAGAGACCACACACTCCTCTTCCCACCTGATTTAGGGGGTGAGGTGTCTTAAGTGTCAAGAACAAGTATTTTTATCTCTTTTGAGTTAAATGTGTACCGCCTCTGGCAGCTGGTGCCTGGAGCTGAGCCCTAAATTTAGCTCTTAGCCCAGCAGGTGAGATTGGGTTGATTAGGCCATAAAGGCTCTGCCACTCTCTAACACTAAAGTGTGATGCTCACCCTTGCTTCCAGGTTTAAAAGGGAGCATGTCTTATCCATCCTGTTGCAAAGTTGACCAAGTCAACCTTGGTCAATCCTCCAAAGAAATCTTGTACCTGGTAAGAAACTGAACTTCTCTAAAGCCTCTTTTAAGCCAAACACAAACAACAATAACAAAAATCACAATTCTTCCTTTCTCCCTAAATACTTATTTGTTCACTGAGTGCAGGAGAGTGGGGGTAGAGACTGGGCTTAGGATTGGACACAGGCCAAGCAGAGCATTTCCACCACATGTAAGTGTGCCCAGGAGAAAGAATACTAAGCCAGGAGAGAGAGAACTACAACAGGACAGAATGGTGTGGCCCAGAAGTGAGTTCCCTGTGACCTACACTTTTATTTAAATATCAGATGTCACTTTAAACAATCAAGATTTTAAGTAGGGTGTGGTGGTGCTACCTTTAATCCTAGTACTTGGAAGATAAAAGCAGGTGGATCCCTGTGAGTTCAAAGCCAGCATTCTGTTTACATAGTGAGTTCCAGGCTGGCAAGAGCTATGGGGTATGACATAGAGAGATCCTGTTTCAAAATAAATATAAATATGCAGACAGAAAGACGATTAGATAGGTAGGTGAATAGATAGATAGATAGATAGATAGATAGATAGATAGATAGATGTCAGACAAACAGACAGACATGTAGATAGACAGATAATTAGCTTGGGATTTAACTCAGTAATAAAATGATTACACAGTCTGAGGCCCTGGGCTTGATCTTCACCAAAACAAAAACATAAATAAATAAATAAATTTCTAACTTTTAACTTCCACTGAAATTTGCAAGGTCTAAATAGCAAATTCTGGTAACAGAGTGTGTAGTTTTCCCTCAAAGGTTGAAAGCCAAGCAATACATGCTCCTGGGAAAAGACCCTCAAGGTTACCATGCTGTGCTGCTGCCCCTAAAAAGGGGATCATGCTGCGCTGCTTCTCTTCTGCTCTGAGACTTTCTTGTGCCTTCATGGTTTTGTGTCTAGCCGGAGTGATGCTTGAAGTTGCAACCCTGAAGGAGCACTTCCATCTTCCTGGCCTTTCTGCCTCTCTCTGTCCAGTGTCCTTGCTAGGGATCTGAACCAGCTGTTCCGTTCTCAGGAGCAGGGTCAACAGACACACATTCTGAAAGCTGGACTTACCTTGACTACAGCATGAGGGCTAAGTACTTGATTTTGGAGGGGGGACATTTGGTAATTGCCCCTCCTCTCCCACTAGCCACCCACCCAGTAATCATGGCTATCTGGTGACCTCTTATGACAGACCCTTCCCTTTTGCATTCATTTGGTAAATGAAGACAGGCAAAGAGTAGCAGCAAAGAAGTAGCACTTGCTTCCTGTGATGACTTAGGACTACTGCCTGGACAAGCAGAAAATGAACTTGAGAAGGGCAGAAGCATCTTGCCTGCAGTGACTGAGAAGCTTCCATTCTCTGTTTAATGGGGGTCCTCGTGTCTGAGGATGCCCCCCCCCCAGTAACGATGATTCTGAGGCAGAGTGGGTTAACCCAGGTCACTCACCCAATTGTCCATGGTTGTTGTATCACTTTATGCACACACCCCATGTACAACAACCACGAGAGAGTGTTTGTCTTATAATGAGGGCTCTTAGAGGTGAAAAGAAAGGACTGGCTGTTTCCAGCTTGACTGTAGACTTTGAAGCAATGGAAGGCATTCACGAGAGCAGCATTGGTTTGAATTGGGTTGACTTCCCCAATGACAAGGACCATACAGTTTTGTAGATTCCGCTTACTTTGTTTTCCACAGTTGCTCTTTAGCACAGAGAAAAATCTCCACTATGTCAGAGCACTTCTCCAATCTTGACCTCCTCTCACCTTCCAGCACGTCCCCATTCACTGCCTCATCTGCCTATAAGCTAGCACTTCCCACACCCCTCTCCACCCAAATGAAGACCCATTTTAAGTTTTCTTAAGTATGAAACCAAGGAATTTAAGAACTCATGGACAGCTCCAAAACTAGTCAACTAAATTCCCTCTTTGAAAATAGAAGCTTAGCAAAAATTTTAAAAGGGACCTTCCCCACCTTCAGACAGCTACTAAGGGGCCAGAAGTCATTTTGCTGTCTCCCTAGGTAGCAGTCTAGTCAATCAACACTAGCTGTAGAATTATACCACAAGGATGCATTTGCAGGTGAGGCAGAGGTGGCTGTGCAGGCACAAAGGTCTTTCTGAAGTGTGGGACACTTACTCTTCTTCAGGACTTGCCGGCACTCAGGGGTAACAGTTGGAACACTGGACTTGGACAGGGCACTTGAGAGGACTTCAATAATGCAGCGAGTCACCTATGAGAAAACACAAAAGTGGGTTGGAAAGCTGGTGTCACTAGAACACAATTCAATCAGGAGTTCCTGTCACAGTAGGCTTGAGTGTGTGCTTGGAACTGATGCAGGATCATCAGGGCAGGGGCACAGACTGGAGGGACCATGAGGAAGCCTCCCAGGGCACTACACTGCAAAAGGAAAAAAGTCATTGAGTGGTAGGAAATAAAGATCCACTTCTAATGCTTAGAGGGAAACTGCCTGTGTCCTAGGGAGGACTAACCCCTGGGAAGGATCTGAGTGCTCACTACCAGAGGGGTATCACTTGTGGTGGTCTCTAAGGCACAAAACTTTCGGCTTTGCAAGACAACATGGGGGAGGGAGCCGTCAAAGGGAGTGAGACAGTCTATGCTGTACACGAAAGTTTAGACTCTAGACCAGCATTTCAACTTACCATTTCCTCATTGCGATTCCCGTTATCCACTGGAGCTGAGCCGACAGCTTTGAAGGAGAAAAATGGGAAATTTCTTGAGTTAATTTCTTGGAAGCTAGGTGAACCAAATTTGCAAAATTGTCCTGCCTTCTTTGAGGGAGCTGCAGAATGAATGCTTAGCAAAACCCACAGTTGGAATAATAGCACTGACCATCATTTCCTGGTTGCCTGTACACATGTACAGACTCATGTGAATACACAAACATACACAGCTGTTTCTTCCAGCAATGCCTTAAACATTTGAAAAGGAATGCTGCCTTGCAGCCCATATAAATGAAACCAAACCACAAATGAGGGGGCATCTTACCATATCTTGTGCTGGTTATGCAGTTGTCCTATATTTGTGGAAAGTTTTTTTTTTAAAGTTGTATATTCACTCTGTGCAGTATCTACATCCTATGATATAATAGTTGTTTAACTGAAATAGAATCAGATACCCTCCACAATCTTTTCACTCTGTCCACACCAATCTAAGGCTTCATCTGCCTATTCCTGTCCCATAAACTCACTTTATAAAAACACAGCTCTTAAAGGCCAGGCATGATGGTACATACCTTTAATCACAGCACTCAAAAGGGAGAGGCAGAAGGATCTCTGTGAGTGAATTTGAGGCCCACTTGGTCTACATAACTTCTAAGATTGCATAGAAAGCCACTATCTTAAAAAGAAAGGAATGAAGGAAGGAAGGAAGGAAGGAAGGAAGGAAGGAAGGAAGGAAGAAAAAAAGGAAAAGAAAGAAATATAAAAACCACAAACAAACAAACAAACAAAAAACAACCTCAAAGACAACAACCAAAAACAGGGATATTAGACTCTTACTCAAGACCTTTGCTTAAACAGTTTGATTCTACATCTGTTTCAATATTGTGTTTCCATGCATTGTATACAATTATGTAAACACCACTAGAAGTATCAAGTTCTCCAGCCCACTCTAGCTTATTAGGGTCATTTTAAAATGTTTGAAAAGTGCCTAGAATGCTATGAAGAAAGACCTCCAACTTCTTCCTCAAATATAGGTTAGATAAGACCTGGATGGCCAACTTCTGGCACTCAGGGTCATATGCCTGGCTTTGTGGGTTCTGTTGTTATTTTTCCCTTTTCTTTAGTGCTGAAGATTAAAGCCAGGTCCTCACACATGACAGACAATCACTCCCCCAGCTGAGCTGCAGCCCCAGCCCTAGGCCAGTCTTTTATGCTCCAAATGACTGCTATTTTGAGAACATACTTCGGCATTTTTCTCTTTCACCTGAAATCTGTGAAATTCTCTGGAAAGTAACCATGGAAGAATTATCCCCTGATGACAAAGAAGTCACCCTTTCCAAATTCAGCTTTCCAGATCTTCTGTAGCAATGCACCTCCACACACACAGTTCTGTCTGTTGTTTCTTCCAATGTAAAGTGAGTACTCTAACTACCCATACATCCAAAGTACTAACTCTTATCAGATTTGACGTCAAGAGATGTCTCATTGTCCTAGACAATTAGCAGCTCATGACTTACTACTATAGGACATCACTGTTTCCCTGAGGGAAGCTCCTTAGAAAGGAACTAGGATTTGCTTATGCTTATGAATTCACATTGTGTACTTAGTGAGATTGCTAAGTGACACACATTTCTTCCAATATAATGTGATAGCAAAGTAATGACTAAAGATATATTGAATCTCCTAAACTTGTTTGACTTATTTGTGTAGCAAATAAGAAATAATCAAATGGTAAAATAAAATCAAATAATAAATCTTGGAATAACTTCTGAAGTATCAGCTTCCATGAGACTATTAAAGTTTAATCCCAGATGGAAATTAGAGCTGCAAAAATAGGTTAAACATGTTCTTCTGCTAGTAAAATCATGGGCACTCCCAAATTCCACTAAAGTTACCAGTCAAACAACATCTGTATAGTAAAATAAATAGCCTTCTTCATATGACACAGATATAGATATTCTACATTCATATTAATCTTTAAAGTGCACAATACTTACCATAAACATTTGTGAATCTCTTTTTATAAGCTTTTAATGTTAGAAAATGAACTAGATGACTTCCTGAGGGATCGTTACCAACTACAATTTTGCTAAATAACCAACCATTTGGGAGGAGGAAATAGGGAAGTGACTGCTAAGATACAGGGTGTCTTTCTGGGGTGATGAGCATGTCCTGAAATTTGATAATGGGGATGGTTACAGTCTGTGGATAGCTTATACACCAGGGAGTTAGACACTTTTAAGAGGTAGGCTGCATAATGAGTAAATTATAGCCTAAAATATGAGAGGATATCATAGTTCCATTTTAGCTACTATTAAATATGAGCTTTTATTCCTTCACAGGAGATATGAAAATATTTAGCCACCATAGTTAAGTGAGTTACAAAAATGTTACTGTTCTGTAATCTAGAACAAAACATACAGCATCACTGTGATCTCTTCAGCAATGCCTATCTGAAATATTTTAGACTCGAAGAACTCTAAATGATTCAGTTTGTTTTCTTTAACCAAATTGAGAAGATATGTTAGTTTTTTGTAAGAATGATTTTTAAAAACTGAGAACATTGTGAATGCAATAAAAAATTATCTTGGGCTTTCATTTTGTCAAATGTTGAATTGAGTAATCCCTGTCCATCAAAGGTTTATATTTATGGAGTCAAATCTAATCAGGGATCTCAGTCTCAGAACAAAGCACTTTTCTCTGCGACCATTCAGAGTCAAAGAAAGCTGCTAGCTTAATTTGGTGTTGTACTTACTTATCAGTATCACAACACAAACATATTCTTCAAGTCATCAGAGATCATTGAGCAAACTTAGAGTAATTTGAAATTCAACACAACAATCTTCCATACACAAATCATCAAATTAACTCCTTCTGTTTCATCCTCCAAAAATTGACTGAAACATTAGTTTACTACTCCGGAAACACTTTTATGCTTATTACACAATCTTGTTTTTATTTCTAGAGTACAAGGAAATATCCAGCACAAATCCCATTCATAAATTAAAAATGATCAATTTAAACGTGAATTATCTCTCTCTAGAAACATAAATACAAAGCATAAATACATTAACCCTGTAAACAGACACACGAAGACCTACACACACATATATGAAATGCCGAGGGAAATGTCTTATATGCATACGGATCTAATTCGGCATCTTTATAATAATAGTGGAAATTTTGCAGGTGCCAACTGCATGCATTCCCACCCTGCTGCGGTCGCAGACAGACTACAAGACTCTCTCTAGCCTTGTAGAGTGCTTGAGATCACTGCAGAGAACACAGAATGCGGCTTTGCTTGCAGGGGCTGCACAGCCTCTGTGGGGAAAGCAGGGAAAGGCTGAGATGAGAGGCTCTTGTTTCCTCAACTCACAGAGTGAGCCAAGGAATACAAGGGACTGTAGAAGATGAAACCTAGTGTCTTCAGTGCTGGGCTCTGGGCCCAGAGCTGGGAGCTGTCCGGGGTGCTGAAATCCACTCACCGGCCAGAGCTGCAGCGCCCAGGAGGCCGAGGAGCACGGCGGTGGTCTGCATGGCCCCGCTCGCCAGCTGCGTGCCAGGAGGATCACAGCGGGTGAGGGCTCCGCAGAGCAGCTGTGGCGCGGTGGACGCAGGCCTGGCTCTTATGAAGGGCGGTGGGGGGCAGAGCCGGGGGCGAGCGGAGAGCGGGGGCGCCCCTTGCTCAACCCTGACGTCACGGAGCAGCCCCGGGGCGGCGCCATTGGGCGGAAACTCAGCCAGTGAGCATGGCCCTGCGCTGGGTCCAGCAGGAGCGGGCGGGGATGCTGGGAGGCCAGGTGCTATCTGTCCCAGGAGAGGAGGGGCAAGGGTCTAGCTCAGATTGCACGCGCCTGCGCTCCACCTACCTCCCCCCCGCCCCCCCGCACACACCTCAGAGCCTGCAGATGCGAGTTTGAGGCTGTGGATACGTGTGATTCTGGTGTGTGTAAATGATGAGGTCAGTTTTGCGTCTCCTCTGCTCAGCTGAAGATCCTTGCTTGAAACACACAGGCGGTTCTCAGACCTTTACAAGAAGAGTGATGGCTGCAAACCTAAAGTGCGCAGCCTAGAACCTATAACTTGCTCTTGGTTCAGATATTAGGTTAAGTGTATCTGTCTTCCTATCTGTGCCTCTGTATGACTTCCACTGTGGACACCTCCCACCCCACACACATAGCATATTCAGATGGGCTTTAAAAAAAAATCAGATGGGGCAAAAGGATGCACTGCAAAATTATCTCACTGCTTTAACCAGTTTCCAAGTTCAGTTCTCTCTGTAGGCACTTTCTGTGGATTAGGCCTAATTTAGTTCCCAGCGTATGTAATTGGCACTATTCTCCTCCCTCTCCCCCTCCCTCTCCCCCCTCCCTCTCCCTCTCCCCTTCCTCTTCCCCTCCCCCTCTCCCCCTCCCTCTTCCCCTCTCCCTCTCCCTCTCCCCCTCCCTCTTCCCCTCCCCCTTCACCTCTCCCCTCCCCCTCCCCCTCCCCCTCCCTCTGCCTCTCCCTCTGCCTCTCCCCCTCCCCCTCCCTCTGCCTCTCCCTCTCCCCTCTCCCCCCTTCCCCTCTTGTTGCACTGGTATTTAACCAGCTCTTCCTGATAGACTGATAGATATTTATTTATGTTGTTATCTTTTTTTTTAATCATTAGTTACTCCTTTATAATGGGGGCATAGCTGCAGGGCAGGGTATGAAGTAACGACTTTGTAGGAACTAGTACATTCTTGAAAACCTGTTCATCTTTTCTGGCTTTTAAATTAAGATAGAAATGCATTTTTAATTATGTGTGCAAGGAAGATGATAACATCTTCCAGATTATTTTTGACATGGATTCTGTTAGCTTAATAAGGAATCAGAAAAAAGCACAGGCAAGTGTCCTGCCCAGAAGAGATACAATCTGCTCTGATAACAGATTCTGAGGAACAGTGAAACTTCATTTGAGATCTCTTTGGTTAGGTGATGAAGTCGTTGATCTACTCCTACTGACAAAGTAAAAAGGAGATTTCCAGTTCCTTCTCCTGAAAAGTCTCAAATTCTTTTTGCACGTGATGAGTATATACATAGATACATCTTCCTGGATAATTCTTTTTACCAACACTGCAGTTAGAGAGAGAGAGAGAAAGCGAGAGAGAGAGAGTGTGTGTGTGTGTGTGTGTGTTTCTGCATTACTGGGGAGAACATTAGCCATGGGCATGCAGGAAAACACTCTACCATATATTATCAACCTCGGAATATCAGAATTGTCTTGAAAATGATATTTCTGGGACAACTGGTAAAATTGAAAAGACATAAAGGTTACATCACCCTATTGTGCTGTGGATAGTAGAAACTGGAGAAAGGAACATCACTGGAATTCAAACCAGTTTAATGGTGGAAGGGACTAGGGATTTGGCCCAGCAGATAGAATGCTTGCCATACTATAACAGAGCCCCAAACCTAAGTAACCCTACCCCCTCAGACCTTAACATAACTGACTCCATGATGCAAGTGCCATTCAGGCCATAAAATTCAGCCTGTAGACAGTACCACCTGCCAAAAGTAAAACAAAGGCCTAATCCATCAAAGTCCATAGTTCTGGGAAGTCTGTAAATGTACTAATCTTGCTTTTTTGACTTCTGCAGTTCTGCTTCTGGAATTCCACTTTTGGCTAACTGTTCTTGTTAACTGAAGTATGTCAACCCAGAACCCAGATGCTTAAAGTTCATCCTGAGAAAGGCTCAGGGTTACACTGGGATCCTGAACAGCCAGTCTTCTCTGGTGAATATCACAGAACAATGCAAGCCTGCTCACTGGAATGCAAACCAATTTAATGGTGGAAGGGAAGAACCAATAATTCCACAAGATTGACCTTTCGACCTCCACTTGTGCATCCCCCCCCTACACATCACACATCACACACACACACATTTACACAGAGTAGAAATAAAATATGGGGCTAGAGAGATTGCTCAATGGTTAGGAGTACTTGCTGCACTTTCAGAGGACCCAGGTTCAATTCCCAGCACCCACGTTGTGGCTAACACTCTATCTGTAACTCTAAGGAATCTGATTTCTCTTCTAGCCCCTTTGGGAACTGCACAAATAAACGCAGACATATATGTGGGCAAAACACCCATCCACATAAAAGTAAGTAAATCTTTTAGAAATTTTTCAAAAGAAAGTGAAATGTAAACATGAAAGAAACCTATTGGCAGAGAAAGGCTGGATACTCTTTCCCACCTAGGCTACGTATAAAAACAGAGGATGTGCAAGAAAGAACCTGCAAGAAGCCACAAGCCTGTGGCCCAGGACTTTTTGACCAGATGTTTTCGCTAGTTCACTATGCCATCCCCATTTTCAGGAGTGACTTTTTATAAATGTGTTTGTTTGTTTGTTTGTTTATTGAAACAAGGTCTCACTATATAGACCAGGCTGGCCCCAAACTCACAGATATCCACTTCCTTCTCCCTCCCAAGTTCTAGTTCTGTTTTCAACGATGTATTATTATACTTCCGTGGGTCATCCTGTCATGGTCCCCCAACTCCCACCTATAACTGTGTTGGTATTTCTTTGCTGATTTTGAGGCAAGTTCCTTGGATAGTCAGGAAAAAAATGTTCTTTGTTTTTAGGAAATACATATCAAGATTTCAAGTCTCAAATTTTGAGAAAAAAATATAAGGAAAAGAGAAAAAAGAAATCACTTTCATATTTTAAAGACTTTAAAAATAGATCTTGCCCTAAGTTTGTTTGTTAAAAACAGCACAGGTTACTGATCATCTGCAAATAGTGTGTGTGTGTGTCACATTGGTCCATCTGTCTTCACACTGGCAGATAGAAGCCTTCTCTATGGGGCCTTCATAGGGGCCTGGGCACCTTTGGGAGTCTGAACTGGAGCTGAAGCCTGGGTCTGAGCTGGAGCTGTGGCTTCTACCTTGGTTTGAGTGTTGGCCTTTGGTTGGCAAAGTCTACGACCCTTGGGCGTGCAGCTTCTAGTCTGCTTCCCATGCTTGAGATGAGCAATGAAAGCAAGAAGGCTGAGTTTGTGGCTGGGACCCTTTGGCATCTTGGGTTTGACCACTTTGGGCTTCACAAGGGCCTTGATGGCCTCTGCACGTGCACACATTGCCTTGGCATTGTTTGCCTGCATCTTCTTAAGGCCTTTCTTCTTAGGCTTGTTAGCAAGGCTCATGTTCCTCAGGAACTTGGGGTTGACTCCCTTGAGAGATTCGTGTCTTTGACAGGGTTTCTTGATACCATTTCCATGTCATTTTCAGGATTGGTTTTATGTGATGTGGTTCTTGGACTTGGCCATGTCTGAACAGTAACCCATGGCTGCCAAAGCACCTTAGACTAGAAGAGAAAGAAGGGATTTTGTTTTTTAAATATAGGGTATCATTGTGTATCCCTGACTAGCCTGAAATTCACTATGTAAACTATGTAAATTCACTATGTAAGCCAGAGTAACCTAAATCTCACAGAGATCCTCCCGCTCTGTCTCCTGAATGATGGTATCAAAAGAGAGAGAGAGAGAAAGAGAGAGAGAGAGAAAGAGAGAGAGAGAGAGAGAGAGAGAGAGAGAGAGAGAGAGAGAGAGAGAGAGAGAGAGAGAGACCACTATGCCTGGTGGCCAAGTAAAGAAAAAATAGGCATGGACAATTATGTATACTACAATAGCATACTATTTTTTCATTTTTATGAAACCTTAAATTCTTTCAAAACAAACAAAGATGAAAGTTTGTGGTTCAAAAGAATGTGCTTAAAAGCTATGTAAAGCAGTGGATGCTGGAAAGAGGAGATGTGCTTGGTGTGGTAGTTCCCTGCATGTATGAGGCTAGCCTGGACTGCCTAGTGAATTCCAGGCTAGCCTAGGCCAGAAAGAAAACATCGAAGGAGGAAAGGAAGGGTACAATCTATGAGAGGTTTAGTTTTCCATTGTTGACATTACACAAGGGTTAACACTATTCTTTAAAATGTAGCAATTATTTATATTTTTTAAAACTGCTATGTCTTTGAAGTAGACACACTCTGGTTTTCCAATACTTTCCCTCTCTTCTTTTTTCCCTAGAAAAACCATGATTAAACGATGTCAAAATCCTCTTTTGACTTCTCAGGTTGGGCTTGGGATAAGTGTTTTTGCTCATTAAGACAACCTTGCTAAAGGAAAGCTATTTTCATCATTGCCAGTTAGTTGGGTGCAAGGGGAGAGCCAGAGTACTAGAGTGAAGGATGCTGGGAGTAGACTGCCAGCATGGCATTTTGTCTCAGAGGAAAGGAACGAGGAACACTAAAGGAACCAGGGCCTAGACTGAGGCAGGGATGTAGTCACAGTTTTAATGATATCGTGGTCTAGCTATCCTGGGAACCCTGTTTTGAGGTGCCCATTCATAACTCCCCTATAATTTCACCTTGAAAAAAAAAATCAGAGTCTCTGTGTGTGGACAGTGTCTATCTCAGACTACTAAGCATGGGTGTGCTCCGTGTCAGGTCTGTGTACTCACTGACTTGGTACTCACTTTCTCCATGTCACTTCATTTAATGAGTCTTGTTATCTGATGGCAAAGGCCATCTGATCTTGTTTTTCATTAGAAGACTGTTGGTTATTCTCAGTCCTTTAAATTTCCTTACAAAGTTTTAAGTCACTTGTCAATTTTCACTTTAAAATCCTGCTGGGATTTTACCAGGAATGACACAAAACCACAAAACCCATATACCAATATAGGGGCAGCTGGCATCTTGACACTATTGGAAAGACATAGCTTTTTTTTTTTTTTTTTCTTTCCTGAGACAGGGTTTCACTAACAGCCCTGGCTGTCCTGGAACTTGCTCTGTAGATCAGGCTGGCCTTGAATTCACAAAAATCCTCCTGCTTCTGCCTCCCGGGTGCTGGGATCAACGGTGTGTGCCTGGTAAGACTTAGCTTTTTGATTGTTGCTAATATTCTGGATATAATATTATCTGTTAGCACAACAGAATACCAAGAAAAGAAGTCATGGGAAACAGTCTTTCCTAGGAATTCTTTCAAAGAACTGAGGAGAAATAAACACAGTTCCAGGGTCCAGTATTTAAGAAGGGCGTGGCCTTGTATGTGGCTTCTGAAATGACTAGCCTTGGAAATAAAGCCAACAATAGGAATTTGGTATTGAAAAGATAGGGATTAGAAATACTGAGAGAGCAGGTAAGGAAACTGAGAAAAGCCAGAGGTTAGTAACTGCAGGTAGCTGCTACCTCCCCAAGGATGGAAGGATATATCCACCCTGCAACCCAGAAACAGAGGCTACTTAAGAAGGCAGATCCCTGGGAAAGGCTGCTGGGCAGCAGCTGGAAACGAGAGAAGCTGCTACTGCCAGAGATGTAATGTTTTCTGTTTTCTTTCCAATCAGGGGGAGGGGGAGAAATACTTGGCTTTTTTTTTCTTTTGTTTTCTTTTCTTTTCTTTTCAAAGCTAGTGCCTCTTAGCAACTGAAGCTACCTGGAAACAGCTGGGCAAACCAGGAAAATCATTTACAAGGGCCAGTCTCCACAGATTAGATCAGAGAGAAAATTGGAAAGCAAACAGACAATGGCAAATAGGATCAAACCACCTTGGAGTCTGGGTTCTACCTTTGGATCTTATTTCCCAATTCACTAATTCAATTCATTTGTTTATGTGGCTTGCTGACTGTCCGTCCAAGCAGTGTGGCTTGGTAAATACTGAGGTTAATCTCAGTGTTAGTGGCACAAGGCTAGAGATTAAAGGTGAGAACATGACCCGTTAGGAGATGGTGCATTCATGGAAACTGCCCTGTTGGGAGATGGTACATTCATGGAAATTGTCACCTTGCAGGCACATGTCCACAAAATTCCTTGTGTTAGTAACCATTGATGGGAGATGTCATTCTGTAAATATGTTTCTCTTATTTGTTAATGAATAAGGCACTGTTGGCTAATAGGAAAGGAAGATAGGAGGGACTAGGAGACAAGGAGGAAAGAGGAAGTAGTAGGGAGGAGTCAACATGGAGAGACTAGGGAGAGAAGAACAAACACCAGCCCACTCTCCGGTAAAATGAGACTACATGGAAACACTTAGATTAATATAAATGGGTTAATATTTAAGAGAGAGCTAGCCGATAAAAACCAAGTAACTGGCCAACAGAATTATATCGAATACAGAGTCTCTGTGTATTATTTGGGGCAGGCGCAGCTGTGGGACAGACCAGAAAATTACTTGCAACAGACCATCAGGGTAGACATTAATCTCTGTGACTTTGACTTCACCAACTCGCCCCCCCCACGCCCACTCCCACATGAGTCTCATGTCAGCAAGTAACTTTCCCTGGGTAGATTTGATTCTGTAATACTTACTTTTATCCAGTTTCTTTGTCAGATAAGATTTTTGATATATTTCAAAATAATTAAGAAATGGCAAGCCTATTCACAGTCTCAAGAAAGAAATGTTTTGCTTTTTTGTAACCCATCAAACGGGATAATGTAACATCATGCAACTTTCATGCAGATAAATATTAATAAAATGAACATTTCTCAAGAAAAGTCAGGAGGTAAAGCTGTATCATTGTGATACAGTAGGGAGTGTTCTGTAGCTGGAGGTGTGCCTATGATGCATTCTTTGATGCATTTGAGAGGAAACAAGACACTGATGGGGGTGGGGTGGGGGTATGTGGGATGGCCCAGTGTATAAAGCCCCTTGCCACCAATCCCAACAGCCTGCATTCACTCTCCAGGAGCCACTTGGTGGAATGAGAGAACAGTTGTCCTCTAATGTGTGTGATGTCCCTGTCTCAGCTGCCAATAAATAAATAAATGGAGGAGGGGGATGGAGGAAGCGACAGAAGGGGTGGAGGATTACCTATGCTTTGAGTTTGGTAAGTTTGAAGAGACCTTCGTGCTTTTGACAAATTACCACTTGATGTTACTAACCATGCAGTTTGTAACAGTAGTAAGTGTTGTTCTTTTGCTACAACTATTGCCTATGAAACACAAACATAAGACTCAGCGCACACATGGAGTTTATTGAGAAAGGGGAGAGAAAGGGGGTAGCTGGTGGCCACCGAAAGCAGGGGAGAGAGAAGAGAGAGAGAGAGAAGGCAAGAGAGAGAGGCACACTTGCTTTAAAAGGGGGGCTTGCACATACCTAACTGAGTCCCCTGTGCAGCCAGGTAAAGCTTGAGCATCCCGCCCATCGTCTGGGGCGGGGTCAGCAGACTGCTGGTTCCCAACAGTAAGTATCTAGAATTAAGCGTTTTATGACCTTTGTGTATCCCTCCCATTAATACACACTCACTACTAGGTAAATTGACTTGGTTTACTAAGCACTTTCACATGTTACAACAAGGTTTTTAAATGAATGCTATAGGATCAAATGCTTAGCTCTCTAATTCTCCCTTTACAGATGTGGGAAATGAGACTAAGATAAAAGACACAAAAGATCCACAATTGTGCAGTAGCAAAAGACAGGATTGAGATTTCTTTCTCTTTGTAAAATTAAATTTTTTTTCTTCCAAAAAATAGCATATTAACTGAGTTATGTGGTGCAGTTCACAAGTCTTACACATATAGGTTATTAAAGTTTAACATATGTACCTATGTAGTTACCACCCAGATCTAGAACATTCCAGAACTGAGACAGCTCCCCCATCCCTTTCACTCAACACTCCCAACAAACAAAACCCCACTCCCAAAATCTAACACCACTGTTTATTTAGTATGTTTTAAATTTTGTATAAATGGCACCATATAGCACTAATTGTGTCTAAACACTTACAGTCAGTGTTGTATCACTGAGATCTGCCCATGTTTCTAGAGATAGCAATGTTCAAGGTCTTTAATTCTATATACTATTTCATAATATGTTGTGGAACAATTCATATATTCTGCTGTTGGTGAGTATTTGGATTGGATAGTTCCCAGCTTAGGTATACTATGAACAAGTATGTTATGAACACTTGAGTGTGAATTTGTGACATCAGCTCCTGTAGACACTACTAGCTTTCTGAAATGAGTATACCAGGGAGTAATATGTCAATGGGTGTGTGTGTGAACATCACATAATACAAATGCCATAGAGCTGGCAGGATTGTCACCTTAGTTCCAGAACATGTTGAGGCCATGGCACATGCCACTTATTTCCCACATCTGTGCAAAGTTTGTGCCCTAAGACAAAGGCTGTCCTTGCTTACTCAATGGTAATTTCCA